AAACCCTAAAGCCTGACACTTAATGATTCAAATGGCCCCTTTTTGCAAACCCTAACTCCCGACACCTAATGATTCAAATGGCCCCTTTTTGCAAACCCTAACTCCCGACACTTAATGATTCAAATGGGCCCTTTTTGCAAACCCTAACTCCTGACACTTAATGATTCAAATGGCCCCTTTTTGCAAAACCCTAACTACTGACACTTAATGATTTAAATGGCCCCTTTTTGCAAACCCTAACTCCCGACACTTAATGATTCAAATGGCCCCTTTTTGCAAACCCTAACTCCCGACACTTAATGATTCAAATGGCCCCTTTTTGCATAATTCAAATGGCCCCTTTTTGCAAACCCTAACTCCCACCACTTAATGATTCAAATGGCCCCTTTTGCAAACCCTAACTCCCGACATTTAATGATTCAAATGGCCCCTTTTTGAAAACCCTAACTCCCAACACTTAATGATTCAAATGGCCCTTTTTTTCAAACCCTAACTCCCACCACTTAATGATTCAAATGGCCCCTTTTTGCAAACCCTAACTACCGACACTAAATGATTCAAATGGTCCCTTTTTGCAAACCCTAACTCCCAACACTTAATGATTCAAATGGCCCCTTTTTGCAAACCCTAAAAACCGACATTTAATGATTCAAATGGCCCCTTTTTGCAAACCCTAACTACCGACACTTAATGATTCAAATGGCCCCATTTTGCAATCCCTAACTACCGACAATTAATGATTCAAATGGCCCCTTTTTGGCAAACCCTAACTGCCGACACTTAATGATTCAAATGGCCCCTTTTCGCAAACCCTAACTACCCACACTTAATAATTCAAATGGCCCCTTTTTGCGAACCCTAACTACCCACACTTAATAATTCAAATGGCCCCTTTTCGCAAACCCTAACTACCCACACTTAATGATTCAAATGGCCTCCTTTTGCAAACCCTAACTACCGACACTTAATAATTCAAATGGCCACTTTTTGCAAACCCTAACTCCCAACACTTAATGATTCAAATGGCCCCTTTTTGCAAACCCTAACTACCGACACTTAATAATTCAAATGGCCCCTTTTTGCGAACCCTAACTACCGACACTTAATGATTCAAATGGCCCCATTTTGCAATCCCTAACTACCAAAAATTAATGATTCAAATGGCCCCTTTTTGCAAACCCTAACTGCCGACACTTAATGATTCAAATGGCCCCTTTTCGCAAACCCTAACTACCCACACTTAATAATTCAAATGGCCCCTTTTTGCGAACCCTAACTACCCACACTTAATAATTCAAATGGCCCCTTTTCGCAAACCCTAACTACCCACACTTAATAATTCAAATGGCCCCTTTTTGCAAACCCTAACTACCGACACTTAATAATTCAAATGGCCCCTTTTTGCGAACCCTAACTACCGACACTTAATGATTCAAATGGCCCCATTTTGCAATCCCTAACTACCAAAAATTAATGATTCAAATGGCCCCTTTTTGCAAACCCTAACTGCCGACACTTAATGATTCAAATGGCCCCTTTTTGCGAACCCTAACTCTCAACACTTAATGATTCTGTAAAACAGACTATTTATTTTGCATGGCCTTACATTGAATAGAAATGGAGCATTATGTCCAGCTTTTTGGTACACAACTAAACCTATGATGGGCTTCGCCATCTGGTTGAAACAGGGTTGAAAAATGCCAACTCCTATTGATCTATGCTGAAATTGATTGCCAGACTACTTGATAAGCGAGCCAGTCTCTAACTCACTGAGCCATCCTAGCGTTTCCAAAGCGACATTGGGGTAGAATAGCCAATTGAAAGCAAGATTACTATTAGGTGCTCAAATTAACAATGATAACTTACAGAATATGTACTAGTTGACCAAGACTATGGCCTTCCTCTACAATAATTTTCTTAGTCCAGTGGGTAAGCTTACCCTAAATTACAAAAAAAGGAATCAAATTTCAAGACAACTGTATTTTTACATCTGAGTCAATTGTAAGTCATGCCCGAATATTTCAGTCTGCTATGTACAACTTTAAATGGAAGATGAAATGAAATGAATGGAGTTTTACATCCTACTTTTCTGCACCACGTGGGCTAATGAAGACGGGCAACGCCATGCAGGGTGCCATGAGGGAAATTTTGGCAGGACAGCGGCATTAGTCTGCTCTTTTTCTCTTTTCTTGATAACGCTGCCTGTATGAGCATGTGAAACGTTGAGTTAATAAATGCCAGAAATAGTATATCCATATATCTTGTGCTTCTTTACCTACTCCTAATTCTATAAGTCTTATAAACAGTAATGATATCTTAGATATAACAAAAAACACAAGGGGTATATTATGGTATAACTCACTTCTTCAATAACAAAGCACATAACGTTTCAACACAATTTACACGTGTCATTTCATCTGATGACGACACGTGTAAATTGTGTTGAAACGTTATGTGCTTTGTCATTTCATCTGATGACGACACGTGTAAATTGTGTTGAAACGTTATGTGCTTTGTTATTAAAGAAGTGAGTTATACCATAATATATCCCTTGTGTTTTTTGTTATATCTACTCTCCACTTCTAAATGTCGTTCAAATCTTATCTCAGTAATGATATCTTGTTCTACTTACATTACCATCTTCCATTCTACCAGGCATAGCTGGTGTTATAATCTCTAATGCTTGTCTTACTACTGATTTAGCTTCTAGAGCATGTGCTTTCAATAAACTATGAAATACCTGTAAAAAACAGAAATTGAGATTAAAGTTGGGGAAATTATAAAATAATAACAAGCATCTTCAAGCAGTGTGAAATAACCAAGCTTATTCATACAAAGACAAGAAAACCTATTATCAAACCCTTAAAGTTGGGTTTCCTTATTTCTTAGTGTCAAATTATGCAAACTATTTGATTAATTGGTGTTTCTAATGAATTATCATATATTCTTAATCATATCATTATGTTCTTATTGCATATAATCAAGAGTTTTAACAAATCATAAATGTCCATGTATGTACAGTCTGGATAAACAAAAAAATACTTTCTTGATCTGTCACTCATTAGAATTCTGCTCTCTTCTAATTTAGCTAATTATGAATTAATTATGGACATGTGAGACAAACTGGTATTTTTCCTGGTCATTAAAACACCTCTAATTTCTATTCATATAAGTATTAGCATGGGAACCCATCTTTAAGCTAATCTTTTACAAAGTTATTCTTGAAAAATAAATGGCTTACTTGTAATACAATACGTTTGTGTATAGCAAATTTAGCTATAATATGAGCTAACAATAAATGGCCATGATATTTGGTAGCCGGATCTACACAACCCCTAGTAACAAGACATGGCCAGGCAAACGTCATCAGTCTTCTTAACTTGTTTCCTTGTTTTCTAAAAAATGAAAATAACGCAAATAATGCATAATAGATGTCACCTGTTAATTTTTATCATGTCCTAAAACTGGCTATAACATCCCTGAAGCTGTAGTAGTTTTACAGAAAGGGGGGTGGGGGGTACAATTATGGTGAGTCTGGCTCTGCCGACATCTTCCCTACCTTCTTATCTTTTTACAGGGATTGTCTGGTGCTGTAAACCCCTGACACTTGATGATTCAAGGGGCCCCTTTTTGCAAACCCTAAAGCCTGACACTTAATGATTCAAATGGCCCCTTTTTGCAAACCCTAACTCCCGACACCTAATGATTCAAATGGCCCCTTTTTGCAAACCCT